AATAAATAAATACGACAAGACAAACGACATCAAGTGGACATGTGGACATACACCAATATACATACAAGGTGTAAAAATGTGTGTGTGTGTGTGTGTGTGTTATTTAAGAGTGCAGGAAGTATTATTACAACAACAATAATAATAATAATAATAATAATAATGATAGTGACATCAATGGAGATATTAGTTAACAATAATAATAACAACAAAAATAATGATGATGATGATGATATAGGAGGAGAGGATGAGAGGGGATTAATGAATAAAGTTGTGAAGTTGAGCCAATTTGTAAGATGTCAAATTAACAAGATGCCTCAGATCCCCACCAATCAGCAGGGCATCGGCCTGTGATTGGGAATATGCTTATTGCTGAGAGAGTTAGATGAAAGGATTACCACTCTCGTGTCTGTGCTTAGCATTAAAACTGCAAACAGTTAGCCTGGCTCTGCCTGAAGGTAGCAAAATCTGCCTTCACCATTCGTAAAGCTCACTGTCATGTTCTGTCAATGTCACTTACTAATTAACAAGTTAACCATCAGCAGCAGGATATGCCAGTAAAGATCTGCAATGAACTGTTTGGGAGTGGCATACCACTAAATGTAGGCATAGTCCATTCATGTTATACAAGAAAAACAGGACCAGTAGTGTATTCCTGTAGTGCTGTCCATCAACTTCTACAACATTTGAGCACCATGCATCACCATCATAAACACAGAGTCCTTCTCCCCTCGTCCCATCTGAGGCCTGTGCTCTGCTGGCCTGACAGCCTGATCCAGAATACCAGGTCACTGAAAAGATGGGGGCACAATAGTGTTCTATCTCCTGCTGCTGCAACAGCCTACGTCCTATTTCATCCATTCCACTTTTCTGCAAGCGGACATCAGCAAGGAACAGGCTGGGTAGTGGAACAGCCCTGGTGCTGCTTGCCAACAGTAAAATACTACTTAGAATTGGCAAATACCACACGAACAAGAGTGACGCATCATCAGCCACCTTTCATTCTTGGTGTCACACACACAAATCCAGGTGTGCAAACGTAGCAGAACCCCCCCCCCCCCAAGGAATCCCAAAACTTTAATAGTTTTGGGATTAAAGTAGTAAATTAAAGTAAATAAATACCTTGTTCCCTCTCGACTGGAGCTATTCTCTTTATTCCTACTATATTCTCTCCCCTTATGTCCTTCTTTTGTTTATCTTCTTGATATTTGCATTACTTTTTTCTGCTGCACTGATTACATTTCTCAACTTCTCAACACTTTCTGGTTTTCAGTCCCTACAAAATACTTCCGGGTTAACAGGAAACAACAAAATAAAAGCAGAAAGCAAAATAAAAGCAGAATAACAACCCAAAAGCAGACTACTGCATACTCTGCATTGGAGTCATTTACAACTTTAATTAAGTAATGGATAGAGTCTGTGAATACTTAATATTTTTAGACATTTGCTTTGCCATCATGGGTTATTGTATGTAGGACTCACTGCAAAAAAATGTCAGTTTAAGCCATTTTAAATTGAGTCTATAACACAATAGGGACTGCTAATTGCCCAAGGTCTCTGAACAGGGGTTTTGTTACATGTGTGAGGTTGCCTGTATGTCCTTATCTATCCTGCATCAATCAACTTAAGCAGCAAAGATAAGAAAAGCCCAGGTAATAAGTTTAAGTTAAGTTTAAGTTTAAGTTTATTTCCTTTATTAATCCCCCTGAGGGGAAATTCAATATAGGTAATAAGTTTATAGACTAAAGCTCCACCTCTGGCTTGATAAACATAGAGGAAAACACTCCTTTGAGAAGATGTGGAGACATTCTATTTTTTCGAGAAGGACAAATCTGCTGAAGTTGCGTGATATCAGTCAGAACTGTGAACTTGTTACACTGTATCTACATCTTCCTTCTGACATTGCATCTACTTAAACTGATTTCTCTGGGGGAGGGAGATAAAAAAAATTCCCTAGCTAATCACCAGAGACCAACTTATCCTCCTAAATCTAATGTCATTTTTAAGTCCACTGTGGGTCTGTGCCATTACACTGGCGTACACCTGCGGTGTGCTGACTAGGTGGAGTCTGCACATCATTTGACAGTTAACCAAACTGTCAGATACAACAGATCCAGCGCTAAAGGTCAGTGGCAACAGCAGCGTTCACCTCCCCACAACCACATGGCCTCATTCACACACAAACAAGTCAAGGGAGATTGGTAAGACAGAAACCTGATGAATGTCATTCAGGCTTATATAAAATCATGTTGTGAACATTACTATCCATGTCGGAAATGATTTGTCAACTTGGAAAGCTATTATGACATTTACCTTGTAGACTGACAGTGTTTGTTTTGTCAGCTGACAATTACATGGTGGCTGACAGATTACACTCCACTTTAACAGCTTTTCCGACCCTCACCATGACATGTTAGGTAGTGCTCTGGCCCACTGAAATAGAGCAGACCCACTGATGCGTAGTCATGCAAACATACCTGTTTTTCTGTGGTTTTGAGAGTGGAGCAAAGAGGCATAAAACAAACAACAATGTTAGGTGATATTAAGTAGATGTGTCAACTTTGAACAGCCTAAAGAGCAGCGTCTATCTTGTCTAAAGCCCTCGCCATTGTTTTTAATCACCCCTTATTGGTTCCAGCGCACCACTTGACAATACTTAACAACAGCTTGACTATAGCGTTAGCCCCGCCCAAAGCGCTAATCTGCCAATCATTAGTTCCCCCACAGCGCTCACTGGTTGCTTTTTATTTTAACTGAGAAACCACTGTTTCATATCACAATGGTAGAGGGACCTGTCAACTCAAACTTAGTGGAGTAGGTGGATTCAAAGGCCTAGACCCAGGCAACTGCTGAGGCCTTTCTCTTGAATTATATTTGCAGATGTGTATGCACAAATGTATGCGTATTCTTTTCTTCACTTTGTTTATATGTCAATGGTCTTGGTGTGAATATTCTTAAGTGCGCATTTTTATGCTCTATACAGACATTGGGTTTCGGGTTGTCCGTTATGTCACATTCGCGTGAATGTGGTATCTCAGGAATGCCTGGAGGGAAATTCAGACAAAAGTCCACTTGGACTGAAGGATGAACAGATTAGAATATGATGGTCAAAGGTCACTGTGGCCTCACAAATTCATTGTTTTTGGCCTTTATTAAAGAATTCATATGCTTATTATGACAACATTTCACACAAATGTCTAATAGGATAAAATGATAAAATGACAACGTTTTATATCCAAAAGGTCAAAGATCAACATCATTGTGACATCATAATGTTCTGCAAAAACATTTTTCTGGCCATCACTCAATGTCTTAACTCAGGAGCGAGAGGGGAGACATTTGGTCAAATGCTGAATTGGTGACACTAATCCCAAGTGTCCATCTTGAAACTGTGCTGATTCTATAGATCCTTTGTGCTGCCAGCTTGAAGATGTGTGTGAAACATCCGTGTTTCTACAAAAATACACTTTATACCTTTTAGTTAATGACGTTAAAGTCCTCACTATATGTATTTCATGAGTCTGGTCAGGCACGCAAGCAAGCTGCAACTTAAATGGTTGGCTGAGGCATACAGTTCTAGTTTATCTGTACATCTATGCGTTGATGTGTTTTTGAAGCAGAGCACATAAAAGCTTTTTTCCCAGCTCAGTCCGTGCACCAGGAACAGACAACAAAACTTGAGATCCTGAGATCTCAGACTATAGCTACAGTCCGATCTCTGTTCAATCAAAGAACAAATGTACGAAGGAAGTTTGCCCAGTATGGCTTTATAAATTAACAATTACCAGTGACTGAGCCTACGTGAGGTCAAAGATGGCCAACCAGCCTTGGAATAAAGCGTACAGTGATAACTGTGTGCTTTATAATTTGTAATGAATCTCAGTACACTGTGATATGCAGTATCTAACATGTGCAAACAATCCAGCATTTTAAACCAGCTTGGCTGTGAGAGCTGAAACTGGATAACATCAAAGACAGCATGCAATTTGGCCACAGCCTGTGCAATGGATGAGCCAGCTGAATACATCACTGTGTCATCAGCATAAAACCACAACCAACCACGTTTTGTCCACATGTCCCCATGTCAACGAGTCAACCTTTGTATCAAAATAAGATGGCCAACAGTATCAAAAGCTTTGGACAGGTCAATAAATAGAGCTGCACAGCTCTGCTTCATGTCCAGACTGCCAATGATATTGTTTACCACCTTCATAGTTGAGGTAATGGTGCTATGTTGCTTTCTGAAATCAGACTTATGTTTGGATAGAATGGCATTATTACATAGAAATTCCTTCGACTGTTCACTTACTAACCATTCGGGGATCTTTGCTAGTTTAAAAATGGGCCCATAATTGTTTAATGAAGTGACATCCCTCCCTTTCAGCAGTGAGAGAACATAGGCGGACTTTCATATTTTTGGGATCACCTTAGAGCTTAGAGAGAGGCTGAAAATATAGGTCAGGGGTTGAGCAATAAAATCTGCAGCAAACTTTAAGAAGAATGATCCAAGGTTGTCTGGACCAGCAGTTTTTTTACTATCTAACTTGACTTGATGGCTTTATGCACTTAACTAACAGAAAATGGAAATTTTGGTTTGTATCACAAACAGTGGTGTTCAAAGCATCGGAGTTGGAAACAGAATCAAACAGCGCGCCACAGGACACCAAAAAAAACTACATATATATATGTTAAAAAAAACTATACCACAATAATGAGTGTAATAAGCAATGGGGGTCTGAGTACTTTTTGAAGCCACTGTAGCTTACTCATTTCTACTGTGATTCTACTGAAAATGTCCCAGATATCTTCATTCCATTCAAATGGGTCCCAATGGGTCAAGCTTACATAGTGAGTTGTGTTATTTTGGTCAAAGATAAGGATTTTTTCCCCTCAAGGTTAAGGTCCATTTCGGAATGCAGTGCCATTTTTGGTCACAAATCTCTTCCTCTGGCACTCATCCCTCTCTTTATTCTTTACCCCTCTACCCTTTTCCTCCCTCCCAGCGTCCTATCATTCTTCCTCTCTTCGTCCTCCCATGTCTTCTTCAGGCTCAGACAGTACCAGTGGGTGTACAGACTCCTCTGCTGATGTCCTGGCTTCCAGTGTCGCTGTCCCTCTCAGTTTGTCCCTCTCCCCAGCTCTCAGCCCAGAGGAGTTTGAGCGTCTTTGGCTGCAGCGACTGGCTCTGCATGCTGAGCGAGGTAACGAAAAGGAAGGAGATTCTTTCATGCAGAAAGCTTCCTCTTTATGGGACATGTATTGTGGTTGACAGGAGCAAATGGGCTTGGCGTAAAAACTGTAAAAACAAAAAACAAAAAAAACCCAACAGTTTGTAATCTCCTGTGATGGAATGTATCTAAGTATTAACTCAAGTAGCCTACTGTACTTAAGTACAATTTGATTTACTTGTACTTTCTTGAATATTTTCTGTTCATGCAATTTTATACTTTTACTTGATTTCGTCTGACATCAGTTCCTCTGCTATTGCTCCTTGTTTGGTTGTGAATAGGTGCGGAGAAACTAGAAGAGGAGGATTATATTTGCTTTGAAGAACGCATCCACTGCCCTGCGATACCTCAGTGTTCACCACAAAGTCTTCAGGCTGCGATGCAGCTGGTCAATATCCAGACAATGGCCTTCACACCACCGCACACACTCCCCTGGAGGGTCTACCTGTACACACACACACAGCAAGGACACTCTGGTGACACACCCCACAGCACACTCATACTTGGGGAGCTGCTGTACACTGGAGAGGGAAATCAGAGGAGAGTAGTTACAAAAGGCATAGATGGTGGAGAAGTGGTAGAGGGCAGTGAAGAGGAGCTGGTGAAAGAGGGAGAGGAAGCTACAGCTTATGGACTGAGCAGGAGGGAGTCAGCGAGAAAAGATGGAGAAGAGCAGGATGTAAAAGTGACTCTTAAGCAGCAACCAAGAGATGACAAAGCTCTGAAGGGGTTTCTCTCTATCCTTACCACTGTGCTGCACACATTGTCCTCAGAGAGAAATTAAATATGCATTACACCAACACATGGTGTACTTCTAAAGAAGACGCTCACTGACCACATTCATTTCCTAATCATATCTGTAAAATAGCTCCTAAGACAGTGGTTCTTAACCTTTCTCATGCCATAGACCTCTGAATTGATACACATGGGTTAATGGACCCCCATTTGATAAGATTTTGCTTCAGGAACCCCCATTTGAAAAGATGGCGGCATCGATGTGACCTTTTAATGATGTGTTATGTATGTGACCCTCCCTCAGGAGATTTAAAAAGTAGCTGTTAGCAGATAGCAACTAACTTGAAGAGGAAAAACAGCAGCCGATAATGTCCACGAACTGGAAGAACAATGAGGTCCAGGAGCTCCTCACTCTCTGAGCAGAGGACGAGATCAGCTGCCATACAACAGGGACAGTAAATGATTGTTCTTGTCATGTTATGCCTTTGTTATTGTTTGTGAAGCGCTGCTGACATGTATGTTTTATGTCACACGCCCGTCACTCCTCTTTTGCTTCAGCGATGCAGGCATGCTTCCTAAAATCAAACACTGGAGCCGCATGATGCTGCTGTCATTTGGTTCTGTGTAAAAATACAAAGGCAGCATAAAGAAGGGACTTCGTTGCATTGTCTTAGTTTCACTTCCATACGAAGTTGACTGTGGGAGGACAGTAAGCTCTCCCTCCAGCCGTCCCATTGGGGACTGATGCAGACCCTCAACAGTACTATGAATAGAATCGCATCTGCGTGACCGCAGCTGTCCACAGACATTCAATGCAGAAAGTTTGTCAAGCCGTTAAGACTCTAACCTACGACACAGTGGAGCACAAAGGCTCCGGAGAAGAAGCTGAGTTAGTGACATGCAGTACAGCCAAGTTAGCGAGATGCACTGGATGACAGTGAGTAAATGAAATGTTAGAGATTTGATCGTTAAGGGATGTTGATGTCATTAGGGGTACGCACACATTTCCCACCCAACACAAAAAAAATGATCACAATACTAGGACAGAGAACTGGAAAAATGCACCAGTGCAGCAGTGATGACTTGGGTCTGTCTCAACCTTCCATCAGCAGAGTGATCACACTGACTATGATACTTTCACAGTCAGCAGTTCATTTCATTTCCATTGGGTGTCCACACCTTATATGCTCACAGAAGGGTGTGTCTCTGACAACTAATCTATTGTATATCTATTGTATGTTTGGTATTGTGTTGTATTGTATGTTCTGTGTTGTGGGTGCAGCATGGGCGAATGGCCCAGAACAAATGTCTCACTTTGTGAGACAATAAAGTTAATCTTGAATCTTGAATCTTGAATCAATCACATCTGTTAAAAGCAAGCATGGCACCTAGCAATCAACCTCACCTCCTCACTAAGGTAAAAGCTTCTGTCACTTCCTTGCTCAAAGTTGCTGTGAGAACTTTCCTAAATCACTCCTAAACTAGGACTCCTTACTAAAAATGTTAAGGATAATGGGATTTATGGTTGTGTGTAAACCCTACGCATGTAACCCATGCACGTCGCCATCGTGAGCATTTTTACTTCTGCAGCGGTGTGTCTGTGTCACTCTGCAGTCACACCTCCAAAACGCTAGATGGCGGTGGAGGTTTCTGTTAAATGCTGTTAAGTTTAGTTGATTCAAAACACACAACACAGTAAATATGGCTTAATAGAGACAATTTCAAACACAAGTACGCAAATTGGCTTCACTTTAAATCGCAGCATTCACAGACAAACACTTGTCTTTTTCTGGATACATTTTCCCCACAAATACAACATGCTAACGTTATTAACACAAGCCTATGGCATTTTACATTGTTTAAATTAGCCTAGCAACAAGCGATCTTTCCCTCTTCTCATATAAAACCTGGGACAACAGCAACATTTAACAAAGGTAACGGCATTCAATTTGGCTCCATTAAAACTCTTAAGATTCACAGACAAAACAGCTGTCACACTCAACACGTTATCCAAACAAATACAACATGCTAACGTTATTAGCACAAGCCTATGACATTTTACATTGTAAAAATTAGCCTAGCAACGAGCGGAGATTTCCTCTTCTCATATGAAACCTGGATAAATCCCGAAGTATAAGTCCCCGAAGGATAAATCAAACACAAGACTTAAAATGCTATTTTATTGGAGGTTCTACTGTCTTCACAATTTATTGTTTCTTATCTGTGAAATACAAGTAAATGCTTCGTTTCCACTAAAGGAAAAGGTGTCAGTATACAGAAACAGACAGGAGGACTGCGTCAACGCGATGCATACAATTCTGGGGAGGTGCGTGTCAGGCTTCAGCGTAGGTTATGGCATAGGCTGTACGTCGACGTGGAGCCTACGCTGTGGCTATGGCGTCAATTCAACGCAGAAGTATAAATTAGCTTTAAGTTAGCTTTCTAAAAGGATTCTCAGAATGTTTGTGAATACGGCTCCAGGAAACCAGACCGAGGGGGTGTCAATAAGTGGTAAAACCACTTTTCACCTTGCACATTTTAAGTTGTATGACCTGAGATAATTGATGTGAGAGTGAAGTCCTTTACAGAAGTAAATTGTGAATAAACAAGACTGCATTCAGTAAACTTCAGCCATACATCACTTCAATTTGCTGTGATCTTTCACAGCCATAAGTAGATGAAAGAATAGTTTGGGTTTGTCAAAAGTTTGGCCTGATGGGAACAGGACTAGTCTCACTGTACCAAATCAACTTCTCCTTTTTCTTCTCTTTCTCCCCTGAGACTGACAGAAATTAATTCTCACTGAAAAAAACGTGCACTGTATGCAAATGCATAAGAGCCTCAACTGAAAGGAAGCTGCTATGGATTGTATTTTGTGTGTACACCAGTGAGCTCCTGTCAGAGCCTCCCATGTGTCTTGCCTTACTCTTGATTGTAGATTATATTTTACTGATTTTATTGTAGGCTACATTAGAGGCTGTCATCATGATAATAGCTGGGTGAAGGTAAGCAAACGCATGAACTGACCCAAAATAAAACAAATTGGATTCCGCTTGCATTGTTTGTGTCTATTTTATTAAGTGTGTGGGTTTGATATTCAGGGGTAATGAGTTCCCTCACAAATTACAATAACTCAGTTGGTACCAAGTGTAACGTTAGTTAGCAGGCTGTTGGATTACATTCAACAATGACGACACTTGCTTCGTATCAAGCCACGGCCACCTGGCGCGCCTACTCACGTCCCTTCAGCGCGCAGCGTTGTGGATGAACCGACTGGAGTAAAACTGAGAGGATGTGGTGGCGACTGGCGAGGCTGTCACACGTGCGCTTGTATTGTCATCGGGTGTTTTCCTCTCCGTTGACACCGCGTCTGATTTTCCGTTCCTTTTAAGTACAACATCATAACCCGGACAGTAACTGCAAGACACCGTGCTGAAGCCAACAGGCAGAAGGAGGTGAGTGGACGTGCTGGACATTAGTATCTATTTTAACAGTCGCCTAACCTTGTCTGACTCACAACACATACTTTACTATATGTAGTGCCCTGACTGTAGTATGTTAAGCAAACTGAAGTTATTCTGTTACTTCTGAGGGAAAAGTGTAGGTGTTGACTCCATGTATTAGTCTCTTTTAAACTATCTTTCCTTTTAAACTTTCTGGTGAAACGTTAACCGTTAACGTAATAAGACTGTGCTACCTTAGTTAACTAATAACGAACGTTACTCGGTTAGCAGTTGAAACGACGTAGGTAGATCAACGGTCAAAACCGCGCCTCATTTTTATAACCTCTAAATTTAGTATCATTACATAACGATAATTCCGACTTTAATAGCTTATTTTATGGGAGGCTGATAGATAACATTGAAATAGGTGCACACAGCCACTGAAAACGTATAGGCTACATGCGCTGAAGTCATGTAAAATGGGCCATCAGGTAAAGTGGGACGAATGAGGTTTCACATTGTGGGCTACTTAAAATATTAGCAGCCAGTCACCAAATGTATTATTGCATCATAACTGCACACGTGTTTCACATGAGCTTATGATTTTTATTAGTTTGAAATAACAGGATAGGCAGAGCAAAGAGTGAAAAACAAATCACTGGTCTCAGCATGTTCATTTTCTCATTTTGAGAGTGCTGCAGCTAAAATAAAAAGGCTATAACAACAAATGGCTGAAGGATGTTGTATTTCATTGACAGTTTGATTTATAATCAAAATATTTTCCCAATCTACTATGTGCCATAAATTTATGACTTATGCTAGTGTGTGCCACCCTGTCACATTGCAAACATTTTTAGTAATTTTTTTTCCACTTAAAAAAAAACCCCAAGATGATGCAGTGAGTCCATGTCAGCCACAATAGTCCAGAATTAGATATCACTGTTAAGCACACTCACAGGTCCATTGTAGACAATGTGGCACCAAGGAAACAGGCTGCAAAAGAACAAGGAAAGCATGGCAGAAAAAATAATTTTTAATAGATAGTTTAATAAAATGTTGAGTCACATTAATAATTTAACGAATTAATGACTGAACTGATAAATTGATTTAAACCTATAAAAAACAAATAGTCAGCTTGTCCAGCATGTTTACAATAGGCCTATTGATTAAGTTATTTTGGGCGGTGCAACACAATGGTTTGAGTTCAAGGTCTGAGAAAGAATAGTATCAGTAACATTGTTAACACTGTGCTATATTACAGAGAAATACAAAATGGTACTAATGAACCTTCATTAATATAGGCCTATATTTTATCTACAAATGCACGTCACACACTGAGCAAGCAGCCTGTTAATGACACTGTCGGCAAAGTAGTAATGATTGTGCTAAGTGGCTAATGGGCATGTAGCTACTTACATGTTTTAGATGATACGTCATGTTTGGAGTCAACCAATGAAGATGAGTTTACATATCACCTTGGGTTTGTCCCTTCACCTTCTCAAAATGATCCCATGCTTTGGATTTCCGTTATTAACTAGCCTGTGTAATAACTGCAGGTACCAGCCCTGTAAATTAGCATGACTTCTGTCTGACTGCTGAGCGTGGCCTCTGCCTTTGTCTGTCCTTTCAAATTAAATTACCACATGGTCCAGTCGTACAGGTTTTGATTTATTTTGACAAGGTGCAGCTTCTCATGTTTTTTTGTTTGTTTGTTTGTTTTTTTGTTTAGTTTAGTTTTTTTCTACGACTACGAAAAGATGAACTTCAGGCATTCATGCGTCGAGCAGGAACAGATGCGCTTGAATTCAATTAAAAAGCCTTTATTTCAAATACTTGGCTGCTTACTTTTAAAACACCGACTGGTTTTGACTCTCTGGTCTTCGTCAGGGTGCAAGAGGGTGAACATGAGTCAAGCACACACATTTGATAGAAGATACACACATGCACACACATACAAAATATATACATAATAAGAGAAAAAAAATTACAATAAGATAATTTTTTGAATAAGTAAATAAGAGTAAATAAATAAATAAAAACAATTAAAAAAATAATGGTAAAAAATATCTGAATAATGAAGATTACTATCAAAACAAATATTAACAACAACAACAAGAAACAATTCACTTGTCATAATATGATATTTTTCAATTAAAGGAAGGGTGTACAATCAGTTTCCTCATTTAAACCAGGATATATCATTGCATCAAGTTTGAAAATCCAAAAAGTTTCTCTCTGGAGGAGTCTACGTAACCGAACTCCACCTCTAATGGACATCTGTATTGATTATAAACTTTCTATTCTCAAGAGAGAATCATTACTTTGATGTACCTCCTTGAAGTGTTTAGCCATGGGGTAGTCCTCATTCTGTGTCCTAATTGCGTATTTATCTTCTGAAAGTCTATCCTAAGGTGTCTTTTTGTGCGTCCTACATAAAAGCAGTTGCATGGGCATGTTAGGCAATATACCACAAAAGTTTTGTTGCAGTTAATGAAATTCGTTTTGTTACATCAATTTTATCAATTTTATAGGTCCTTCCTGTTTTGAAATCAGTGAATGTCTTTGTTTGAACCACATTAGGACAGTGCTTGCATGTGTTGATAAGACACCTGAAAGTACCTGAGGGTTTCTTTAACCACATCATGTCCTCTTTGCCTGCTGGTAAATAACTGTGTACAAAATTTTCTTCTATATTGGGAGCTCGTTTGTATGAAATAGTTGGTAGTTCCTGAAAGACAGTTCTCAAAATGGGGTCACTTCTTAGAATAGCCCAATTGGAATGTATGATCTGTTTGATTTTCTGAGTTTGAGTGCTGTAGCATGTAACAAAAAATGTGGTGGAGCACTTCCTGTCTGTTCTGTTGCATTTGCACAATAGACCACTGCAGTTTACATGTCTGACTTTT